TTTCTGCTTTGGCTTATTATTATTTTTTTTATTCTACTCAGTTGAGTTTTGTTTGTACTTTTTCTAGTCCTTTAGGTGCAAAGTGAAATTGTTTATTTGGGATTTTTCTTGTTTTTTGAGATAGGTTTGTATAGCTGTGAACTTTCCCTTTAATGTTACTTTTGTTGCATCTTATAAATTTGGGGGAGTTGTGCTTTCATTTTTATTTGTAGATATATATAATTTGATTTCTTATTTAATATGTCTATTGTTTTGTAATGTTGTTTGGTCTCCATGTGTTTGTGGGTGTATTTTTTCCCGTTTTCTTCTTATAGTTGATTTCTAGTTTCATACCATTATGGTCAGAAAATATGCCTGTTATTATTTCAGTATTCTTCAGTTTATTAAGACTTATTTTGTGGCCTAAAGTTTGAACAGTCTTGAAGAATATTCCATATGCACATGAAAAAGTAGTATTCTGCAATTTTGGGATGCAGTATTTATTTTGTTTTTACTTTTTCTTGTTCTTCTTAATCCTCACCTGAGGATATTTTTCTATAGATTTTTAAGACAGAGTGGAAGGGAAGGAGAGGAGAGTTGCCTTCTACCCCATCTGGGTCCAGGGATAGAACCTGAAGCCCAGGTACTTACCCTTGACCAGGAATCAAACCCATGACCTCTGGTCTTCGGACTGACACTCTAACCACTGAGCTAAACCAGCTAGGGCAGGAATTCATTTTTACTTTTAAATACAGTTTTATATTCAATATCCTGTATTAGTTTCAGGTGTACAGCATATCTTACAAAGTAGTTCCCCTTGGCTCCACACATAATTGTTAAAACATTATTGACTGTATTCACCATGCAGTTATATCCCTGTAACTGTTCTGTTTTTCACTTGAAACATTTAGTCTATTTATATTTTAGTTATTGATATGTATGTGCTCATTGCCTTTTTATTTTATTTTATTGGTGGTGGTTTTAATTTTTTTTCTTTTCCTTTGATCTCTTTTTTATTTTTTGGCTTTCTTTAGTGTTTTGTTTGGATTCCTTTCTCTTTATCTTTCATGTATTTTTTTTTTTTTTTTCGTCTAAGGTTACCATGAGTTTCATAAAATCCTTCCATTTTATAGCAGTGCTATATATTTTGAGCTGATAGGTATTTAAGTTCAAACATGTACAAAAGCACTACTTTTTACTACCCCATCCAGACTTCTTTTTTTTTGATGCTATATTTTTTATCTGTTTCATTTATCTGACTACTTTTTGTAGTTACAGTGAGTATGCTACTTTTGTCTTTTGACTGTGATGCTAGCTTTTCTTTTTCTTTCTCTCTCTCCCTCTTTTTTTTTTATGGCAACAAAACTTTATTTAAAAAAAAGGGGGAGCAATAAATCCCACCTCCCCTACTCTCATCTCAACAAAGAATGTGTGTGGCAACCTGATCCTATGTTCTTTCTCGACAAGGCATGTGCTCTGATTGCTGACATGTCAGAGAATGCTAACGATATAGCCTAAAACAGATATCCCTCCAAGTTTCATTGGCTGATTTTAGAGGCTTCATTTTTCATTCATATAACAATATGGTTCAAGTTAATTGGCGGGGAGAGGGTGCTTCACATCGTCTTTTAGGGACCCAGGCTCCTTCCATCTGTACGTTCACCATCTTTAGTCCTTGGCCTCAGGGTCACACTAGCTTCCTTAGGAAAGCATGCCAGGGGAAGAGTGAGTATGTAGAGAAAGCACTCTTACTTTTAGCTACCGTGGCCTGGAAGTGACACACATTTCATCTCATGCCTCATTGGAGAGAACTAGTCCTGAGACCCACCCAGATGGAAAAAAGGCTGGGAAATGCGTTTTAACTGTGTGCACAGAAAGAGGACACAGCCCTGGTAAAACTCCAAAATCATTTACACATTTCGTCAGATATTATTTACCCATTATCCTTCTGTCTGTGACGTAACCTGAGCTTTGGGGCTTGTCATTACAGGGACAAGAGAAAATAGCAATGGCCAGGGAAATGTCCATGTTTAGAATATTGAAAAGTCATTCACTCTGCTTAAGAAAGGGCCTCATTCTATTGGTGGACTTTTGCATTGTCAGGGAGACCAAAGTCTTATTTTGATTGCTTATTTGCTTTTCGGTGAAAGTAGGAATCGACTCATAACCTGATGGTGTTCCCTTTTATGTGACTTGTTGATTCCTTCTTGGTACCTTTAAGGTTATCTCTTTACTTTGCCATTTTAAGTACACTTACCCACTTGGTGTGGGTCTCTTAGGATTCATCTTGTTTAGAACGCACTGTTTTTCTGGATCTGGATGTCTGTTTTCTCCTGCAGATCAGGAAAGTTGTTCGTTATTATATCTTCAAGTATACTTTCTTCCCCTTTCTATTTTCTTCTGGAATCCCAAGGCAGTGTTAGTTTGCATGTCCCAGAGGTCACTAATACTGTTTTCTTTTTTTAAAAAAAATTTTTGCTCCTTTGATTGGGAGATTTTTACTATTTGTTTTTTAGATTACTAATCCACCATCTATGTTAACTAATCAGCTGTTTGTTCTTTCTAGTACGTTTCCTTTTTTTGTTATTCCTCACCCAAGGTTATTTTTCTGTTAACTATCTTCAGATAGAGTGGAAAGGAAAAAGAGGGGGAGAGAGAGAGAGAGAAACATCAACCTGAGAGGGACACATCCACTGGTTGCCTCCCACACAACCTACCAGGGCCGGGGATGAACCTCAACCAAGGTATGTGCTCTTGGCCAGATTCGAACCCGCAACTCATTGGTCCAACTTTCTAACAGCTGAGCCAAACAGCCAAGGCTGTTTTCTTTTAGTTGTTGAATTCTTCATCTGTGAATTTTTTTTTATGTTTCCTAACTTTTTGTTGACGTCTCAGGTTCAAGTCTCAGGTTCTCTGCTTTGACATTGTTGGGTATTCTAATAATAGTTTCTTTTTTTTTATTCTCATCCAAGGACATTTTTCCATTTTTTGTTCAGATAGAGTGGGAGGAAGAGAGAGAGAGAGAGAGAAACATTGATGTGAAGGGACACATCTAGTGGTTGCCACCCGCATGACCCACCCAGGGCAGAGGACAAACTACAACCGAGGTACATGCCCTTAGTGGGAACCGAACCCGGGTCTCTGGACCACAGGCCATTGCTGTAACCGCTGAGCCAAACCAGCCAGGGCGATAGTTTCTTTTTTTATCAGGCAATTTACTGATATTAATTTGTTAAGAATTTATTTCTGACTATTTTGTTGTTCATTTAGAAAATACATTATTTTCTGATTGTTAGACTTTTCTGTTTGTTTCTGGAGTTTGATGAAACTCTCATCAGTGTTGACAACATTGCCTTGTGTAGTAATGGGTTTTGTTTTAGAATGTGTGTTTGATGCTTTTAGGCTTTTAGGTTGGAGCAAGGCCCTTGCAGTACTGGGTGCCAGAAGGCCAGGAGGAACATGTATGGGCAAGACAGCCTGATGAGTGCTCCTTGTGCTCAGTTGGTCTGGATGATAAGGCCCTGTGGGTGGCCCCCAGCACCCTGGTGGGTCTGCTGTTGATTCATTCAGGGTTTTCTGGTGTGGCTTCACATTTATCCATGTTGATTTTATTATCATCTAAAGGGACAGAATTTGTGCTGTGCAGAGTAGTCCTGGCAGAGCAGGCATACTGACTGTGGCCTGCTGGTTTCCTGTTAACTCCACGCAGAGCTATCTCATATGCACTCATTCCTGTTGTTTGACTGCTACTTGAGTCCAGTCTCTTAGTTCCCTCTATGCAGACAGGTCTGCCCTGTGTGTATTCACCAGTGGCTTGCGCGCGCACTCTCCCTCTCTCTCCGTCTCCCCCCCACCCTCACCCCCGTGTGTGTGTGTGTGTGTGTGTGTGTGTGTGTGTGTGTGTGTGTCTCAGCACCCTATTGGACCCGCTGGGTCTGACTGCATACAGGGACCTGTTCACTCACTGTAGTATGCTGTCTTGTTTCTGTTTGAGCTAACTTCAAGGATAGTGCCTGGGGGACCTACTATGACAACCTTGCAAGTTGGCCAGAAGCTCTGGATAGAGTTCACATCTGAGATACCCTAGTTGGGGGAAAGCAAAGAATACCAGTCACCTGCTCCTTTAATCTTGATGAGTTCCCCAGTTTTCTCTCTGTGGTTTCTCTCTTTTTTCTGTCTTATGCAGAGCTATTCAGCTGTCACTCAGTTGTCTCTCAGAAGGAATTGCTCTAAAGATTTGTGTGTGTGTGTGTGTGTGTGTGTGTGTGTGTGTGTGTGTATTCGTGGGAGGGGCAGACTTCATGTCCTCGCATTGTCGTGTTATTGGACCTGCCTTTTTTTTTTCTTTTCTTTTTTTATTTTTATCTCTCTCTTTTTTTTAAATATAGCATTAGTTCTTCGACAATGTTGTGTGGTATGTTTTATTTTTCTCAATGTAATTCAAAGAAACAATTTCGAGTTGCCATTTGGTAAAAGTTCTATACATGTTCTTACTTATATAAGTGAAAATGTACTTTCTATAAAAGTTTATTTTCTTACAAGATCTTTAAGTGTAATGTGAAAAATTCTGAATGCTATTAGGTTCTGTTTGATTTTTTTTTTGAGAAAATCTGTCATGGTGTCCCAAATCTCTAATTTTAAAGCCTCATACCAGTGTAATTACCATCAACCTACCAGTGGTGGGAGAATTATAAGCATTTAAAGTGTGTACTAATTTCACCTTGGAATATTTATAAGAGTTGACAGATAAATGTTATTAGCCGACCAGTTACATATTTAAAAATGTACTTCTTCATTAATTTTCTTATACTCTTTATGAGACTTGGGAGTAGTTTATAGAGGAACAAATAGTAATAATGATGACAATACCTAATAATACTTTTCATTTGCTACTGACATGTTTGTAAGCATTTGTTTTTCATGTACTTCTTGATACAGCTTTAGTCATTTAAAGGCACATTTGTTTCATTGAATTTACAGCATAATAATTACCTTTTTTTTTTTTTCCTATTAATTTACAGGTCACCAAGAAAATAACAACTTCTGTTCTGTTAACATAAATATTGGTCCAGGTGATTGTGAATGGTTTGTCGTCCCTGAAGATTATTGGGGTGTTCTGAATCACTTCTGTGAAAAGTAGGTTTTTGAACTTATAGATCTGAAAAACAACATTTTTTTATAAAGGGCAAAATTATGATTCTGAGTTTCCAGTTATTGTTTAGCAGACTTTTATTTTAAATTAATTATTTTATGTTTTGCGGAATAATATATGAAAGGCTATAAAACCAGTCTGTGCTATACTAACAGGTACGATTCAGAAGACATAGAGAGTGAATTACTTTGTATGTTAATTTTAAAAATTGATACCTAAATCCACATTCATATGGCAAATGTGCTTTAAGGGAAATTTGGCTTATTATAATTAAATTTAGATATGTTAAGAATTCTAAAATTACATACACCTTGTTAATGACTTAAATTATGTATCTTTGTAAGTCATCCTGAACTTTTCAGTTGTCCAACAGCAAGCAAATCACCTGCTTTTTTCAGAGTTGGTAATGATATTATTATAACCATGTAAGTTATTATTTATGTACTTAAAACATGATTTTAAAAAATGGATGAAATTCCTGTAATAATACGCTTGAGGTTATTTTTAAATCTATACACACATATCATTTACTTCTACTTTTAACATTTTGGAGGGTCTTTATTATTATATTTTATTTAGTATTATAGTGTATTATAGTGCCCTAGCTGGTTTGGCTCAGCGGTTAGAGTGTTGGCCTGTGGTCCAGAGAGACCCAGGTTCGGTTCCCGCTCAGGGCATGTACCTCAGTTGCAATTTGTCCCCGGCCCTGGTTGCGTCGTGCGGTTGGTGACCACTCAGTGTGTCCCTTTCACGTCGATGTTTCTCTCTCTCTCTTCCTTTCTTTCCCTCCCACTCTGTCTGAACAAAGAATGGAAAAATGTCCTTCGGTGAGGATTAGAAAAAAAAAAAAGTACATTATAGTGGTTAAAAAAGTAATACTGCCATCCTCTTAATATATTTTTACTGTTGTGTGTGTTTTTTTTGTTTGTTTTTTTTTTTTGAGGAAGAGGGACACACAGAGAGAGAAACATTGATGAAAGAGAACATTGATTGGCTACCTCCTGCATGCCCCCCACTGGGGATCAGGCCTACAACCTGGACATGCACACTGACCAGGAATCAAACCAGTGACCTCTTGGTGCGTGGGTCGACACTCAACCATTGAGCCACACCAACAGGGCAGCATTTATTTCTTAAAATTATAAAAAGTGTATATTTTAGTAATTGTTATACATTCAGTATACTAATTCTTATGATTTTGGGTGGGAATTGACTATTTTCAGGGTTTAACTTTTCTTGCTTTCAAATAGGTGAACCAGGTAACAGACAGTTGGCAAAGACAGATGATATCTAAAAAGTTTGAAGTTCAGAGTAATAAAAATATCAAGTTAGAATGATTTACTTATCTAAACTTTCAGAATGCACTTAACATCTCAGATTTCCATTGTAGTTTTATTTTCCAAAAAGATACTGATTTCAATATTTATGACCCCTATTTTAAATTTATGAGTCTACAAAACATTTATTTGAAAGTCAGTTTCTTCAACCTTAGAGGAAAAAAAATGCTTGATCTATATTCACTTCTGGCTTTCCTTCCCCCCCTCCCTTTTTTTTTTTTTATGGAAAATTTTTTCCAGTTTTATATTGGTAGTTTGAGTGATATATGACTAAGGTTTTTACTGTGTTTGTAGTTTTTTGTTTTCTTCTTCTTCTTCTTTCTCTTTGTGTGTGTGTGTGTTTTACTGGAAATATTTGAAAGCCTATAGAGAACATACATTTTTTTTTTCTCTTGATTTGTCAGCATCTGCTAGACTTATGTCAAAAAAAGTCTCCCATTTTAGGAAAGGAAAGGAAAAGAACTTTCCATATAGATAATTTCAAGGTACCCTTTAATATAATTTTAAGAGAAAAGATAAAAATAAAGTGAAAACAATTTTTAAATTTTCAGAAAGGAATAGTTCTACCATGCAAATTTCTTCTTCTTGATAGAATTAAATAACTTGAAATACCTAAACTCTATCTTAGTAAATTCTTTATAGGAAAGATTGTTGTAGTAGTTACTTAATCTTGTGATGGAGAGTAGTAAATAATTAAAAATTAAAATAAAGCTTAATAATTTGTTCATTTTGCATTGGTGGTACTGGTAGTGGCCATTTATGTAATCATAGGGACCTTCTAGCAATTCCTGGGGAAAACAGAAGGCTGGAAAAGTCTAGATGCATTGGTGAATCAAGGGAATGTTTCTTGTTCTTTTATCTGCAACAGTGATTCTGATAAAGAAGTTTAAGTGGCTTGATATAGTCTTCACTCTATATAATAATATAAATTTCTTTTTCAGTGATTTTAGATAATAGGATGTTCTTTGGGAATAAGGGATAAAACAGAAAGCCCTCACTTTTTTATCCTCACCCAAGGCTATTTTTTCATTTATCATCAGATAGAATAGGGGTGGTGGTGGAGAGAGAGACACATCAATGTAAGAGAGACACATCGACTGGTTGCCTCCCGCAAGACGCCGATGAGGGCCAGGGACAAACCACAACTGAGTTGCATGCCTTTGACCAGAATGGAACCCGTGACTCATTGGTCCTCAGACCAGCGCTCTAACCACTGAGCCAAACCAGCCAGGGCCAGAATATTCTTCATTGAAAGCAAATTAAACACTAGTCTATGTAAATATAATGTGAAACTTTAAATCTTAGATTTGAAAAAATAAGTTTATGCAAATTGTACAGTCTTTGAAAAGATCTTCCTATTTTTGCGTACAGTTGATTTTGTTTTAAAGCCCTCACTTTTGAAAAATGCAGTTCTTATTGCATTGCTGTTAAGTTTTAATGAAGTATATACACTGAGTGCATTTCTTAATTTTTTGAAATTATTTTCTCGTGGTTGGTGAATCATTGAAAAACTTCTTCCATTATATTTATTTTTCAGAAATAATCTGAATTTTCTAATGAGTTCTTGGTGGCCCAACCTTGAAGATCTTTACGAGGCTAATGTTCCTGTATATAGGTTTATTCAAAGACCTGGTGATTTGGTCTGGATAAATGCAGGCACTGTTCATTGGGTTCAGGCTGTTGGCTGGTGCAACAATATTGCTTGGAATGTTGGTCCACTTACAGGTATTTTTTAATAATATATATTCACCGATTTTACATTTTAGAGGCGTTTTCTAATGTAGGTGTTATTTTTCTTTTAGAAAATAATTCACTAAAAATTGGAAGGTTGTGTCTGCTAGGAAAAATCAATTTAGTATAAAGAGTAAATTCAAATTAAGATGGATATCCAAGAATCTGGATATCCAGATTTGGACCAATAACAAATTAGTTTTGTCTACAAGGAGGATATACTTTTGATATTAGAGTATTGTGTGTTGTTTTCATAAAGGAATTCCTTTTATAGGCAAAGCTGAAGCAGAACTGTTATTTAGAATTTTTATTTAATCTGCTGTAACATATGCGCAGCCATAGAACATTAAACTGTTTGATAACAGGTGACATAAATAATCTGGCCTTTGTAATCAGAGAGACCTGAATGATACCTTTTGGTTAAAGAAGAGGTTTAAACTTCTTTGTTAAACCTCGTGACTTCAAGCAAATGCTTTGAACCTTTCAGAGCCTCATTTACTGTTGTTTATTTAATCTGCACATTGAGAATTGTAAAGTCAATAAGGCATTGTTTGAAAGAATGAAGAGAGATAAAGTATAAAAACGATAGAACAGTACTGAACCTTAGTGAGTGTTCTTTAAATGATTTTTTAAAAATATAATTATTTAAAAAACCTTCTGTTTTGAGGTTTTCACAATTGGTATTAAAGTTATTAACTGAGAGATGATAAATTATTATCTTCATATCTATTATTATTTTGGGTTACTTTATATCTTTAACTTTTTTTTTTCTCCTAGCCTGCCAGTATAAATTGGCAGTGGAACGGTATGAATGGAACAAATTGCAAAGTGTGAAGTCAGTAGTCCCCATGGTTCATCTTTCTTGGAATATGGCTCGGAATATCAAAGTCTCAGATCCCAAGCTTTTTGAAATGATTAAGTAAGTGCTTTCCAAAACTGCTACAGTCTCTCTTTTTTGAGGGGATGGGAATGTATGATGAAGAATGTTAACTAATCAATACTTTTTTTCTCCAATGAATTAAATCAGTGGACAACTGACAAATAGTTCTGGAGGCTTGACCAAAAAATATAGTAAGAGAATTAATGTTAAAAGTATTTTCCTCCATAAACATAATTAATATTCCATGTTGTAAATGTACCACATGTTTAATATCCACTCATCTACTGATTGGCACTTGCACTGCTATGAACATAGAGGTATGTACATATATTCTTTCTGATTGGTGTTTCAGGCTTCTTAAGATAAATTCCTAGAAGTGGGAGCACTGAGGTCCATTGGCAATTTCATTTTTAATTTTTTGAGGAAGCACCAAATTGTTTTCCATTGTGGCTGCACCTGTCTGCATTCCTACCAACAGTGTACTAGAGTTCCCTTTTCTCCACATCCTCACCAGCACTTGTTTGAGGATTTGTTAATGGCTGCCGTTACGGCAGATATGAGGTGATATCTTGTAGTCTTTTTAATTGGTATCTCTCTGATGATTAGGGATGTTGAGCATTTTTTCATGTGTCTCCTGTCCATTGGTAAGTCTTTTTGGAGAAGTGTCTATTCATGTTCTCTGCCCTTTTTTTTTTTATTTAAACTTTATTGTTGAATGTATGACAGATGTCCCTGTTTTTTTCCCCCATTGATCTTCTTCCCCAATCCCTCCTCTCTCCTGCCTTCCCCACACTATTGTCTATGTCCACTGGTTATGTATATATGCATAGAACTTCTTTGGTTTATCTCTTCCAAAACTTTCCCTCCCCTCTTCCCTTTGAGGTTCATCAGTCTAACAACCAATTCGTATTTCTTAATTTCTTCATCCTTTACACGCATCCATGCCCTCCCCCTCCCCCCGCCTCCTCCCATTTGGCAAAAAAAACCCCACAAAACTGTAGATTCAGTTTTTGATAGATATGTATTCATTGCCATTTTATTGTCATATTTTTGTTCTTCTCCTTCAAGAAGACCCTTCAACATTTCATATAACACAGTTTTTATGGTGATGAACTCTTCTAGCTTTTTCTTGCCTGGGAAACTGCTCTATCGTGCAAAGCTATCATTTAGAATCAATAACCATATTTGGGAAGAAAAGATAAAACAGAATTAGGTTGTTGCTCTTCATCATTTTAAACATCTTTTGCCCCTGCTTTCTGGCCTGCAAAGTCTTTTGAGAAATCAGCTGACAGTATTATGGGAGCTCCTTTGTAGATGACCAACTGCTTCTATCTTGCTGCTTTTAAGATTCTTTGTCTTTAAACTTTGACATTTTGATGATAATGTGTCTTGGTGTGGACCTATTTGGGTTCATCTTTTTGGGGGCTCTCTGTGCTTCCTGGGCTTGTATGTCTGTTTCCTTTACCAAGTTAGGGAAATTTGCTGGTAATATTTTTTCAAATAGGTTTTCAATTTCTTGCTCTCATCTCCTTCTGGCAACCCCACGATGCAAATGTTGGTACATTTCAATTTATCCCAGAGGCTCCTTACACTGTCCTTGTATTTTTGGATTCTTTTTTTCTTTCTGCTGTTCTTACTGGGTGTTTTTTTGCTTCCTTTTATTCCAAATCAATGATTTACTTCTTGGCTTCAACTACTCTACTATTGATTTTCTGTAAATTATTCTTTATTTCAGGTAGTGCATTCTTCATTTTTGACTGTTCTTTTGGTGGTTGTTGATGTTCTCACTAAGTTTCTTAGAGTTCTCCTTAAGTTCCTCAAAGTTCTCATGAAATTCCTTGAAGATCTCACTAAGTTCCTTAAGCATCCTTATAACCAGTGTTTTGAATTCTGCATCTGAATGATGCTTATGTCCATTTTATTTAGTTATTTTTCTGGAATTTTGTTTTGTTTTTTCATTTGGGACATGTTTCTTTGTCTCCTCATTTTGGCTGCTTCCCTGTGATTGTTTATATGCATTAGGTAGAGTTGCTATGTCTCCTAGGCTTCACAGGTTGGCCTATTATTATAGGTGTCTTGTAAGATCCAGTGGCACAGCCTCTCTGATCACCCCAGCTGGGCCCTTGAGGTGCACCCCTAGTGTGGACTATACAGTCTTCTGTTGTAATTGAGTCTTGATTTTTGTTGGCACGTCTTTAGGAGGGAGATTTACTCAAGCTGATCAGCTGCAAGGACTGGTTGTGCCCACTGATCACTGGCCTCTGACTCCCTTGGAGGATCAATTGTGTAGTGGCCCACCATACAGAGCAAGATTTACTTCATCAGGGCTATGGTACCCACTGAGTCTACTCCTTGAGTGTGTCACTTGTGGAGGTGATTGGATGGTGGTGTTTTGATGTGGTCTGAAGCTGATGTGGGTGTGCTGGCTCCAGGGCAAGCTCAGGGACTACCTCTGTTCTATAGGGGCCACCAGGCATAAGTTACAAAGCTTTCTGCAGTAAAAATTACACTGTATGCTGAGATTTTTATGCATACATTTTCTTCTAGGGTTTTATGGTTTTACAATTTACATTTAAGCCTTTTATCCACTTTGAGTTTATTCTTGTGTATGGTATAACTTGTTCTAGTTTTATTCTCTTGCATGAATTTGTCTAATTTTCCCAACACCATTTATTGGAAAACTGTCTTTTCTTTTGCCTTCTTTGCCGAATATTAGTTGTACATAGTGTCTTGGGTTAATATCTGGCTTCTCTATTCTATTCCATTGACCTGTATGCCTGTTCTTGTGCCGGTACCAGGCTATATTAATTATGATGGCTTCATAGTGTAACCTGATATCTGGCATTGTGATCCCTCTGCCTTTGTTCTTCTTTTTCAAGATTGCTGTGGCTATTGAGGGTCTTTTATATGGTTCCATATAAACTTTTGAAGTGTTTGTTCTAAATCTGTGGAATATGTCATTTAGTAGGGATTAATTAATCCCTATTGCCTTAAATTTGTAGATTTCTTTGAGAAGTATGTTTCAATCCAGACACATGGTGTATGTTTATACCTTTTTGTATCTTCCTCTGTTTCTTTTTCTATGTCCTGTAGTTTTCTTGGAACATGTCTTTTACCCCCTTAGTTAAATTTATTCCTAGCAATTTTATTTATTTTTTGTTGTTGCAATGGTAAATGGGATTTTTTTTTTTTAGTTTCCTTTACTGAGTGTTCATTGTTGGTGTATAAGAATGCTATCAATCCTGGATGTTAATTTTATATCCTGCTCTTTTCCAAATCCATTTATTAAATCTAGTAGATTTTTGATGGAGTCTATAAGGTTTTCTGTGTGTACAACATCATGTCTTCTGGGAATAATGACAGTTTCACTTCCTTCTTGCCAATTTGGATCCCTTTTATTTTTCTTCTTCTTCTCTAATTGCTCTAAGACTTCCAGTACTGTGTGGTGAAAGTGGGCGTCCCTGTCTTAGGGAATCATACAGTTTTTATCTTTTGTTTATGGTGTATGACATTTTTTGATTTGTGAATACTGTACCAGTCTTGCATCCCTGGGATAAATTCCATTTGGTCATAGTGAATAATTTTTTAATGTGTTGCTGGATCCAATTTGCTACTGTTTTGTTAAAGATTTTGGCATCTATGTTCATCAGGGATATTGGTCTGTAGTTTTCTTTCTTTGTAGTGTCTTTTTCTGGTTTTGGAATTAGAATTATGCTGGCCTCATAAAACGAGTTTGGAAGTATTCCTTCTTCTTGAATTGTTTAGAATCGTTTGAGGAGACTAGTTCTTTGAATGTTTGGTAAAACTCCCCTGTGAAACAATCTGGTCCTAGGCTTTTGTTTGCCTGGAGAGTCTTGATTACATCTTCAATTCCCTTACTTATTATTGGTCTGTTGTAGTATTCTGTTTTTCCTCGTTCAGTTTTGGGAGACCGTGATTTGAGAAATTTGTATATTTCTCCTAGATTGTCTAATTTGTCAAAGTATAATTGTTCATAGTGTTTTTTTTTTTATCCTCACCTGAGGACATTTTTCCATTTTTTGTTCAGGTAGAGTAGGAGGGAGAGAGAGGAACAGAGAGAGAGAGAGAAACATCGATGTGAAAGGAACACATCGAGTGGCTGCTACCCGCACAACCGACCAGGGCCGGGGACAAACTGCAACCGAGGTACATGCCCTTAGCGGGAACCGAACCCGGGTCTCTCAGGACCACAGGCCGACACTCTAACTGCTGAACCAAACCGGCCAGGGCTGTTCATAGTATTTTTAAACAAACCTTTATATTTCTGTGGTTTCAGTTGTTACTTTTCTTTTGTTTCTGATTTTGTTTATTTGGGTCCTCTCTCTTTGTTTTTGGTGGGTCTGGCTAAGGGCCCATCAATATTATCTTTTCAAACAACCAGCTATTTGTTTCATTGATCTTTTAAATTGTTTTTTTACCTCTATGTCATTTATATCTGCTTTTTTTTTTTTTACTATTTCTTTCCTTCTACTTGCTCTGGGTTTTTCTTTTTGTTTACTTTGTTGTTCTTTAAGTTGTGAGATTGGTAATAATTAGAAATTTTTTTGTTTTTTGAGGTTGGCCAGTGGTGCTATGAACCATTGTGTCCCATTGATTTTGTGTTGTTGTGTGTTCATTTTCATTGGTTTCTAGGAATTTCATAATTTCTTCCTTAATCTCCCTGGTAATTCATTTATTAATTAGGATTAGTAGTATTAGTATTAATATAAGTATTAGTATAATTAGTATTAATATACTATTTAGCCTTTATATGTTTGAATGTTTTTATTGTAATTGATTTCTAGTTTCATGCCATTGTGATTTGAGAAGATGCTTAATGTGATTTCAGTCTTCTTGTACTTGTAGAGACTTAGTTTGTGCCCCAATATGTGGTCTGTGTTTGAGAATGTTCCATGTGCACTTGAAAAGAATGTGCATTATGCTATTTGGGGTTATAATTTTAGATATCTGTTAAATCCATTTGATCTAATGTATCATTTACAGTCTTGTTTACTTGTTAATTTTTTGTCTAGAGGATC